ATATCTCAACAAATGGGATGTTTTATTCTTAGCTTTGGAGTGTAGTTGTAGGGCTTATTTGGTGGTTAAAATGGAGGATGTGTATGCTGTTTGGGTAGGGGACAAAGGGGGTCCATGTGTTGGGGTTTATTATGGAGATGATATGGGTTGTTTTGGCTTTTGTGTTTCAGCCAGGATTGAAGGGAAAAGGATGAAATATATGTGGGTCATTTTGGTGAGTTTAATGGGGTGTGTTTTTGATGAGAAAGGGTGGGGGTAAGGGGGTACGGCCTGGGCAGTAAAATGGGTTGTTTGGGTTTATTTTAGGGTGAGGAAATATCCAATGAAATTATGGCTAAGGGTTTGGGTTTAGGAGGGGTAAATTCATTCCAAAAAGGATTAAAACACTTGGACATTATTCCACAGATTTGTTTAAGGACTCGAGGATTGTTGTTGGTGGTCGGGGGTATATCAATTACTCAACCCATGAAGTTCTTAAAGAGGGTGATACACCGAAAATTGAGTTTCATTTAGATATATCAGAAATAGCTAGGAATGGAATTGGGTACAAAAAAGTTTTTTGTACAATTGTTCAAGTATGTGGGATCTATACTGCAAACGAACAGAGATGTAAAAGCATGGTAGTGGTCACTAAGCCACTGAAGACAAGGTAAGAATTAGACTGCATTGGTCAAGGGTTAATCATGATTGTTATGAATTATGTGTTCCAACACAAATAGTTGTAGATTTGTAGGATGAAAAGGTCAAGGATCGAGAGAAAAATATGTATTCCAGTACAGAATTGTATTATTTTCAAAAATTCTCCAGAACTTTTGAGTTTCTATCATAACAAACATCCCCATTTTCTCTTTAATTAGGGATGTTTATGGAAAGCCCCGGCTATGAGTGGCTGGTCCCAACCCGATTAAAGGACAAGGGTTGCGGTAGTCTAGTGAAATTTCGTCATATTTTATGAGATGAACCAAGATAAGAATTTTGTTGCAGTATTCCCTACACAGAGACGTGTTACACTACTTAGACCAGGTTGTAGTGTTATGGGCAAGGGATGCTAGATTGTCAACCAAAAAAGTATCGCCATATCTTCACCTGGAGTGATGACGTGGTGCCATGTAAGCAAGGGTTCTCTCATTTATGGAAGGACGTTTGAAAATAAAGTTCTCATTCCTTTAGAAACATTGAATGGTTCACACATTATTACTCTCTCGTCCGCATAAATTTCAACCACACAATCTGATTTTTTTCTTAAACACCGTGGAAAAACAAATGTAAATTTGAATTAAAAAATTTTACTTTTTCTTAATTTCTGTAAAAAGCAAATAGGACTTTATTTTGTGATGGAGGAAGTACCATTTTACGGATTTTAGGGTCTAATTCATGTGATAACTCTCCGTATCTTTTATTATCTAGCTTTTTATAACTGAACTGCATACATTGGCGTTGATTGTCATTTTTCGGAAAGGGAGACAACAAGAAATCGGTACAATCCTAACTCAGTTGGGATATGGAGGGTCAAGACTCAAAATGTAGGCAGCCTTACCCCAAGAAAGGCTTAGAAAAGGCTGCTTCCATTAGACCATTGATGCATTGCTGCATTGCTGCATTCACCACCGAGAGTCCAAGAACATCACAGAAGAAGAAAAGTGAGTTTTAAAACTTTTAATTTGCCATTGTGATTTAGTACATAATTTACCCAAAGCAAATTGACTCTTTTAGCTCCATTGGCAAAGATAAGTAAGACCATAGAAAAGATATGAGTTTTAATGACATCAACAAGGTAAGCCTATTTACCTGATTGTACAACAACAACCCAGTAAAATCACACCAAGGTAGGGTCTAGGGAGGATGTGTGTATGCAAACCTTACCTCTACTCGGAAGCAGAGAGGCTGTTTCCAAGAGACTACCGCTATACTACTATACTACCCAACTATCTTAATTCTATCTCTCCAAACACTCCTATCTGAGGTCATATCCTTGATAAGGGAAAAAGGTCTAGGGTCTTGGCGAACCACCTCTTTCCATGTCCTCTTCGGTCTACCCCTTCCACATTCCCGCCAAGCACTCGAAGCCTCTCACATCTCCATACAAGAACCTGAACCACCTCAAACCACTCCCACCCATTCCCGAATAGTATCGTTCCGAACCCTATCCAACGTCATGTGCCCACACATGACACATCGAATGTAACATCCATATCTCCGCAACAACCTGATTGTATACTATGAAAACATATGGAGTATAACAAACACATCTTCCTAGTTTGATTTATAACACTCTCCTAGCTCACTTTAGAGAACATTCAGAAATTCCTACCTTCTTACTTACCTATGTAATGGTATGTTCTCGTATCTCGTACTCCCCCCTTTCCTTTTTCTCATTCATCAAGACATTATCCCTCATTTCAAGTATGGTTCATATTATCTCCTATATAAACATATACTACTCTATTTTCATTTTGTTGAATATCGTGTCATGGCCCGTGAGATGATTTATTAATCATAGTTTTTATATTTGTGTTCCAGAGACTACAAGTCGAATTTGACGAAGTAGAATCATCTTTAAGGCTTAAGCACGAGAACCAAAGTCTAGGTACTAGCAATTGGATCCAATCTAACAAGTCACACACTCATTTTTCGAAAATAACATAAATGAACAAATATGACGTGGTGTAATTGAAAAATTGAAAATAAAAATCAAATAAATGTGTTGAAAATTTGAAAATGCTTTTCCTATAAAAAGCAAAGCCAATTTTAATAGCTTTTAATTTATTGAAATTCCATCTGATATAATAAAAGAAAAGGAGAGGATATCATTTTTATGTACTCCCTTTAATGAAGTATACACTTTCCCCTTTCCCGTGTCTATGAATAGGCCTTATACTTCTCCTATTTCCTCGTTGAGAAAATGAATGTGTCACATAACATTTCTCTATCATCTAAAAAAGTTCAAAACACTTTCACATTTCATATCTCTATGAAGCCAAATAAAGTTAGATAATATAATATTTAATGTTATATTGTAATATTGAAGAAATTTCGATCACCCAAATATTAGGTTATGCCTACATTATTTGCAAATGGCTAATTTATAACGTGTAGGTACATTCTTTGAAATAAAAAATAAATATATTCACATGCGGTGGAGTTAGTCATCGATGTTACATGTATAGTTCTCTATTTTTTCTCTCTATTGTTTTTTGTGTTCCTCATCATGATCATGTTTAGGTGTTTATTGATGTTAACATAAACTTCATTGCAGGATGGAGGAAGTATTAGAACTAACACATTTTCTTACTATTTTCATCTCCTACTAAACTTTATATTGTTTCCACTATCTAGCAGGTGGCAACTTACTAATCTCACGCAGTAGCATCTAAATGTGGTAAATAAGACTTGCATAGGGCATGGACCTTTTTGCTCTTTTTTTCTTGCACATATTATTTAGTTTTGTATTTACTATACTCTTCATTACATTAAAAATTATAAATAACGATGTTGC